AATTTTCAGCTTCTGTGATACATTATTTGTATCTCAAAGAAACCATATGACATTTGTATACTTTGCTCATTTTTAACAATTTACTTTTGAGTTAACACCTATACATGGGTCACCTAGAGAAGCAAAATGTCACCGCTTACTATTTAGCATTACATGTTGTCTGAGACAACACTCACATCGGAGAGAAATTAATAGTCAGAGGTACTCATAGGGTCCAATCTCCCGTCTAGGCGTCATTGAACAAGGCCCAATAATATCTACCCGGGGCGTCTTCTGCTGCTCTTTGCTCAAGGGTCAACACTGCAACAGCACGCAGTATTGGGTCGGTTTCATTGTTTTCTTGGTTCACTTGCTTAGGTAAACCGTAAATAAAGTAAAAATATGCACAATATATTTTATAGCTCTCTATGTACATATAATGGTTTTTACAATGCAAAACTACACCTGCAATATTAGTTTCTATGACACAAGTTGTTCCCTCCCCCCCTCTCTCTCTCTCTCTCTATATATATATATATATATATATATATATATATATATTATATATATTATATATATATTACCATCTTTTGCTTTACATATGTTGTCTCTTTTCTTCCCTGCATCAAGAAACGAGTGTACCCTCTTTTGGTAGAACATGCTGTCTAGTTGACAGCGGGCTTTTTCCAATAAATAAGTGTCAATCATCACCTATTATCTAGACGACGCAACGTTTTGACCCGTCGATTGTGCCCACCTGGTCGCATAAAATGTTGGCCAGTACAAATAATAGACACAATAGGAAGCTAGCACATGCAGTGCCGTTGCATTTCGTCTGTCTAGGAGTAGGAAACGCCTGACCGCATCAGTAAAGAGACCGAACGCGCACGTGGTGCATATCTGAGATCATGCAAACACCTGTCATGGTAACACCAGAAACCCGGCATGCCCAGATGTTAGTCATTTTTGATCTTTTGGAATCAAAAACGTTTTATTTTGTGTTCGGATACGAGTCTCATTCATTCGTTTCTCATCCATGTCAGCAGCAGCTGAATTTACATATCCTGGCCTTCCATTGTCTGACACTTTAATCAGTGTAAGGACATCTTTGCGCTGCCTTCAATTGTGCTATATTAACACTCGTCGAAAACTTCTGAACAGCTTATTTAGGCTCTCCAGATATCTGCAGTCCACTCGACTCACAACGAAGGAGTTTCTCATAACCTTCTTTGCGATTTGTCGGTCACTTGTACTTCAAAAATGACAAGAAACATGTTTTTGATGCATCTCGCAGTAATTTGCCTCCTGTGCATCGCAAGAAGTAAGTAAACTTTGTTTTTGTGGAGATTTGTAACCGTTATAAAATGTTTTCCATCAGAAACGGCTGTAAATGTAAAATAAACTATAACCTACGATACTCACGTAATTAGATAACACTAATTGGGTTGATATTTAGATATAATGTTGTTAATCTGCTGTCAAGTAACGGGTGGGGAACACTGGGGCCTCTAATGATTGTATGGTTCAACCATGAATCTACTGTATGAAACACAGATACAGATATAAACTAACATGGGAAAATGGGTTACGCAATGCAGAGACATTAAACAAATTTGGCGGATTTTACTAAACTCTGCCTGAAATTTACTGAAAAATAACTTCTTGTGCAATTAATTTAAGTTTTCTTGATTCGATTTAAGTTTCTTAATTGCGTATATTCATAGTAGTACGGGCAAAATAGCTTAAATTTATGAACCCGATGTTTTACTTTCGTTTTATAATATTTTACGTGGAAACTTTTGTGAGGTAACTTCTTGTGACTCTTTTCTTCTCTTTATGATTTTAAACCATACATCACTCATGTTATACGTAAAAAGTTACCGCAAAAAACTTTTGTTTTTCGTCACATAGTGCTGAGCAACCTTTTTGTAGGTCTGTTCCGCTCTAAGGAAACTCATAGAAGATACAGAAGAAAAAGTAGCAGATCTTTGTTTAGATTTACTTGACTGATATCGACATTTATAATTTTATCAAAACGTACAGACAAGCATGCGTTTATCTGTTTGGCTTCTTAGATAATCAGAAAATAAAATGAGAGACACTTTCATGTTCTGGCAAAATTGAGATCTTCCAGAAAACCTATTTAATGTAAATTAGCCATTATTTTCTAAGCAGTGCAGATTATGCTGAATAACTACGGTAAGGACAAACGGTATAGTGCGATGTAGCTTAGATTTTGAACGTGACAGATTGTCTACGCGTCGCACCAAGCACTAGCAAGAGATTTCATGCCAAGAACTAATCATTAGTCCTTATCATGGTCTTTATCTATTCGGCTAAAATACATAAAAAGATGTACATGGACTTTTTTTTATTTTTTACAGGCGAATCACGGCGCTGCACGAACGGACGAACAGCGTCATGCCAAGAACATAATACACTACACAAGCAGATGTATCCCGATGTCAACGACGAAAAGTGCCAGGGTTTTTGGACATGTTATAACGGGACAGCCGTACTACGATGCTGTGGTGTGGGAACGAGATACAGTTCCGAACTCCAGGTACTCAGAACAAGTAGAAATTACACATTTTGTATCGTTTTTCGAATATTTATTTGAAGTGTAATTGGTGGGATCTTGCGGCGATGTCTGTAGATACACTCGGCGCCCAACTAACGTCACAAGTTGCCATAATGGACTTCAATAGCAGGCAAAGTAACCTTATTCACGTAGATAGTATATGTGTAAAACCACTAAAGCGGTAGAACCTGTAGTAAAAAATTAGAAATGACGTCGCAGTTTTTCAGCATCAAATTCGATTGCCATATACTGAGAGAAGCCTGACCAAAAAGCTCCTATAACTGATATTGCATCCATATTTTTTGAGTACGCCATTATTACGGCAACGTAATGAAGATTACAGTATACAGATGGGGGCCGAGGTGTTATACAATGTGCTAAAGTATGAATCTAAAGCGTATTTTGTTATCTGAGTATAAGCTCGTTAAAAGTTGCAAGTAAATGCGATTCTAGTGTTAAAAACAACTTGTATCTGAAGAATATTTATGTGGACTAAAAATATTTTCGTTACAGGTCTGCGTGCACGCCAAAGACGTGCACTGCCCAAAATCTGACCATGCTTCTTTGCATATACAACCAAGATTAAATAGATCCAAAGAACGAAAGTAAATAAAGATATGAACATATTAAAAAATAAAAAAGTCATGCATGCTTTTAGAATATTAATTTAGCAATCATCTCTTAAGTATTTTAGCGTTTCCTTGAACGAACTTAATTGGTGCTTTTTCATTTTTTAAATTTTAAAACACAAAGTTTGTCCTAAAATAAGGCAGATGATATTTCCAAACAAATTATTTAATTACAATTGCCTACAAGAATCTAAGGAATGTGCCTCTATAACGTTGTGAAATCTTACTCATCTTCATGAACAGCTTTCTCTTATATGTAAAAGACACCTCAGTTTGCTGACATGTGTCTGCCTTCGAATTGCCCGCTCAAATCTTAGGGATTCTTATAATTTGCATCGAAATTACCCATTACGTTATGTGTACGCTAAGTAGCCATCTCTTACAATATGCACGATGTGCATACATAGGATGCTATGAAAATTTTGGGAAACCTCTAGGCCTGATTTTTAGTTGGCTTGTCCAACTCGATGAGTTGGAATATTAAATACGTTAAGTATAAAGTGTAACGTTGCGCAATTTCAACCGACAAACACAACGACCAAACTAAGTACCCCTGTAGCACCACCGCGCAGCTCGGCTACTCAAGGCCAGTTCAAAACATGGTGCATCAGGGTCGTTTCCATTTTGAAGCTGTAAGCAATTTCCATATCTCCGCTATTAAAAACCGTTACTATTGTTTTATTACGATATACTTTATTATGTAGTATACCTGCATTATAGGTACGTAGGCTTGCATACTATACCTGTTTCAATAAACCAATTACGTTGTTTCACTAATTCCGTTATTCGGTTGTATTATACCACTAGCATACTTCTACATACATAACATACTCTACTACAAAAATTCCGTTCAGTTTTAGTTTAATCTGTTAGTGGCGCTTATAAACGTGTTTCGTTATTGTGACTTATCCATTCTATTATTTACTTCTTTTTAAAGTATAACATAAGTTGGATGTTTAAATTTTAATGCTCCATAAACTTCTGGTGAGCGCCTCTCGACATCCTTTAGCAACTACAAATCACAAGATGACTAGGTACATAACAAGCTTAATAATATATACGTTACGTACGTTCATAAAAAGTGATTTACCTTTAAATCGATGGAAATAAGACCATTAACACTCCAAGACTTAGCGGACCGATAACCGACACATCGAAATCGTTTACATCACTCATACGAGATATCGAAATACAGGGTCGTACACAAGCGACGATGATAAAAGACTCGACGGCTTGAGGTATTAGAGCTTCACTCTGTCACTGATGTACGTTTTTTTTTTTAGCTTCGAATTGGTGAACCGCGACTATCTCAATTGCTGTTGTAAATAGAAGTATTAAGGAAAGCAGCGTGCCTCATAACTAATTCGGACTTTACGTGTTTCGTCTCTTTGTGTGCTTTGTTTCTCTTGGTCGTCTTTTTTTGGGTTGAATTGTTATCAGGTACACCCGAAGGCATACATATTTCTAATATATATTATATAAAAATCTCAAGCCAATTAGGTACAACCTAAAAAAATATGTGGAAGGTTGAAGCACAATCAGAAGACAAAAGTCAATTAACAGGTTAAAAAGGTATTTGGAATTTTATTTTGCAGACCTTCAGGGAACCTTTTTTATCCGGAGGCTATACTTCAGCCTGTACATTCAACTTTTTGTTTGCCGATACAACAACGGTATTTGGAGCTCACTTTATTTAAAAGAACACTGTTGGCGTGTAATAGAAGTGAGTGTGGCTTCGAACAGATTAAACATGGACTTATCAACCAAGTCTACAGCGTCCATTTGATGCCGAAATTTCTCGACCACTACACACTGACAATCAGTTTTGCAAAGGATACTGAATTGTCTCAGGAAGGATAGATAATCCCCTTTGCTGTCCCGAACTGACCAGATTTGGTCCATGATTAAGCGTAATTTTCCTCACTTCACCTCTTTTATGGGTTCACGAAATAATAGTTAAAAACAGCCAAAACGTATCTGCAAACTTAGGTTTGATTCAGAAAAGCAGTGGCTTATAGTTGTTAAGAGGCTCGCCTTTAGTTAACTTTATGTTCGGAACAGTGTTTTTCATCGCTAGCGCAGTTTTGTGGCTTGTCAAATGAACCCATATGCTTATCAACCGTTATTTACGTTTTTCTTTGACGGATTTCTAGGAAGCTTGCAACAACGCTGTTCTGCAGTGGCGTTAACATATTATGTAAATATTATACATGGACATTAGTTTTTATCAACAGTAAGGACGGCCCTTAGAGTTTCCTGATCGGACTTATAAGATTATGGCTCTCCAAGCACGCTGCCTCAAGCAGCCTCTTCACCGTCTACCTAACACGTCTAAAATTTGGATATTTCACTTATATATACGGAATGCTCTGATGTAACAGTTACTCTAAGCCGCAGTCGAAATCAACAGATAACGCAAATAATAATCAGCAATTTGTAGCTCGTTTTCAACCGATACGTATTTGAAATACGGTATCTTTAGTCTTCTAAGCTACTAGATTTGGAACCAGCCTGAGTTGCAAGGATTATTTTACAGTGCTTCTAGAGAATCAGGCTACGTGTCCTGATCACATATTTTTAGCCTTATGGATAGCTAACCTATAGAGAGAAGCGTTCGGATAATATATTAAGTTCCCATGTTATATGAGATTATTATTACTAATTGTTGACCTGTATGACAAAGTTACTAAATCAATCGGTATTTCGTTGGCCAGTGTTGTTCTGCGCCCCTTTAAAAATTTTTATAAGACCGAATACGTCATTGACACGTATATCCGCGTTTTTTTGCAGCAAAATTTTTTTCCCTATCAATTAGGGTAATTTGCCCCTTAATATTTTTTTTTCGTGTTTTCAAGTCCGGTATTTAAGCTGTTGAGCATTCCTTCAAACGCTACTAACCGTTTGTGAGTAGTCGACATAACATTTCTGGATTATATGGATTAAAGTAAACGAAAAACCGAATAAATGAATATATGCTACAGTAAAAGAAAAAAACTATTAGAATAAGCTAGCTGTTTCTTAGTTGATCTGTCCAAGCACACCGTATCGTAGTTTTGCCTACATCATATCCCGCTAATGGAAGGGTGCAAACCTAACTGACTGCGTGGAACACCTTCGGAGGACTTTCTCTTTTCATAACGAGAGGAAAGATGTCGCCTTTTCCCCTGTTTGGTCAAATGGTTAATGACGAAAAGCATTTAACGTTATACATGAAACACTACTTCGGGCTTTACAGCTTAAAATACGAAACAGAAATTAGATCGAATAAGCGGTTCAGCACTGGGACTGCTTGAGCTTTCGACGATGCTTCGGGATTAGTTTAACTGAAAACAGCTCAAGTTTGCAGTCAATCGCGATATGTGGGCATTATAACAGTGAAGGGCACGATGTAATGGGAATTTAGAAAAGTTCAGGATAATTGTTTTTAGCAACAGTAACAAACCTGGTGGCTTCACGGCCAACAATTATGACCGGTTGCGTGCTACCCCGCTAGATTGAAAGTAACCCCACCATAGTCCATTGAGCAGTCGCTACTTTTCTCAGGTAAGTCATGGAAATATAATACGGCTGTGTGTTGGAACTTCGCCAGTACTATATTGCTGGCAATTTGATCAACGATTAGGACCAACCACTGCGAGGATCGACATATAAATAGTCAACCTATTGGTGCTTGCCCCCCGTATACTACACCGGTTCATCCATCTTCCATCCTCGTCCATTGAGGCCCCGCCGGCGGGATCTGATGGTATTAGTATTGTGGATCTGTAAAGTATCGTTAATATCCTTGCTTTCACGGTATGGACTAGCGAATCGTTGAAAAGGTCGACTTTCTTATGCTTTTATGTGAAGACCTCTAATTAGCATCCGCTTGCTTTACGACAAAGCGCCGACATGGCCAGCTATGCATACGTAAGTCTCATCTTTTCTATGGGATTTCTTTCAGTTGTTATGTGAATGACTTGCATAGAGCTTTGACTTAACGGTACAGAAAGCCAGAGGGAGCGCTTTCCGATGAATGAACATTAGTAGGCTGGGTGTTCACAGCAGAAATGTACCGCAAACTGTATTCGTCTTCAATTTCATATTATGTGACCCTTAACCAATATTGAAGGGTTATTAATGTAACCCCTAAAGTTGTACTGGGTTTAGTTTTCACCACCCATGGTTTTCTCACTATATCGCCATGTAGAACTTAAGTTTGAGAGCAATATGGCTACACCTTTTCGCAACGACACGACAAGCGTATACGAACGCAGAAGAAATCTGAGTTGTCAGCTTACGTCGTCGGCGCTAGTACGGGCCTTGTAGTACGAGTGCACACGAATTTCGTTTAGTCTTCAGACGGGCATTATCAAGTGATGAGAACGTTCATCATGGAGGCGACGAGTTAATTATCCTAAAAATAAAGGTCTTAATGGACTCCTAGTTGTCGTAGACAACTTCCCAATATGATATCGTATACGATATCCACAACACACACAACTAATGACTGCTCTGATCAAGGTAAAAACACAACCTCTCCGTTTGGACAAGGCCTTGCCCTATGGTAAGGCCTCGTAAATAAACACCCTATCTTTTGGTTAGTGTTTTTGTTGGCACGGTTCCCGGCGATGCCAACATACATTTTTAATTAATGCCGCTCTAGAATTAAATAGAGTGATTTTACTCAATTTATCGATTTCTATTGACTTCGTAAATAGTGGATATAAACTACTGTGTATATGTTTCGTTCATGGAACAAAAAGCCATGGAATAGTAAACATTTCAATTTAAGTTTAGATATTTACTTTACGCAGTAGCTTTGAGTGAACGTATATGTAATCGACAAGAACAAGTCGAATTAGGGCGTAAAAACGAAGCGCTGCCGTCGACGAAGGGTTGGTACTATACAGGAAGCCGACATAATTGACGTCGTGGGCTATGGGCAAAGTTAAACCATCCCCTATAGAGACGGGAGGTGAGGTACCCGAAAAAAATGCTTCGTCTACAGGCAGCAGCAGCAGTTACGTGGCGTCGTCGGAGGAGATTGATGAAGGTATGTTAACATTCGTTAGCATTTTCTATGGCAACTGTTTCGTGAAAAAATTACCATGTTTTTTTTCGTAGGCATTATCGAACGACTTAAGCAACAGCGTTCTTACTACTTAGATGCCCCAGCCACTAGCAGGCATCCATACTGTAGCATAACGCCATAAGGAACAGAAGAGTTTTGGCGTGCTAACATGTTCAACATACACGAATAGTTATCGTACGAAAATATACAGTGATTCGCTTGGTGTCATAATTATTGGCTTATTCTTAAGTGCATTCGCGATGATCACAGAAGACTACACCGAGAGTGACTCTCTAGAGACAACAGTTCCATCGTTTGTTTCAACGGGGGAAGCTGCCAACGAGGTAGAGCCGAGTTATGAGCTCCTGGAACATCGATTTGTCAACGCTCTCCCCGAAGACGAAGCCCTTCGGGTATGACAATCATGTTTACCGATTTCAGTTATCATGAGCGTGAGGTACTTTTATTGTTTGGTTGTTTATTGAGATGATTGTGAATTATTTAGTTCGTTTATATATAGTTTAATAAAATCAGAAAGATTGACAAACGATGAGGAAGATTGACAAACGATGCGCAATGCGGTTTAATCTATTAAATTCAAGATTTACAAACGGAGCCCTGACTTTGTTAAGACGTGTTCTTTATAGTCGTTTGAAATGCGTGGTATGGAACTGTCTCCGAATGGTGACTAGCTATTACCGCAGCGCTACCCTAAATAGGCCGTTTCGCTGTGTACCCGGTACTTCACCCGATAACTGCTCGACTTTTCCAAAATCATAGATTTAACTATTATGAGGCAAATATCCGGGTACATGTTTCAGGAGCTCTCGCTTCGCGTTCTATATCACACATGGAAATTAGACAGGAAAACATTTAGGAGGCATATCGGACTAATTGATCAAGTATATTCTTTGTTATTGAACAAAGACAGCTCTCAGCGTCAAGCTAGCCCAGTCGCGTACGATGCCATGCCCGAAGCGCTCTGCTCCGGACGCGACGAAACTGCTACTATGGTGGAGTCCGCTAATCTTCAATAGAACAGTGATACTAAAAATAAATTTAATTTATTGAGTGTACGGAGTCGACAATTTGTAGTTGGTTTATAGGAATTGAGCGAAAATTTCATTCAACGTAGTGTGTCTGATTCAACGATGGGCTCGACTGTGATCGATCACATTGTCGTCGAATTGCCGACAAAGACCGAAAGCCCACAAAATAGCTAGTGTTTTGCCCAGAAAAAAAATGCCATAAGACAGCAGTACGGCAGATGCCGGCGACTGCACGTATTAAGGATTAGAAAGATGAGTTTTCATGAAATCGCGGCGTCTGAAATGTATATACTAGTTCAGCTGGGGAGTATCCGGATAGAGCGAGTTAGAAAAAATTTTGGCTGAAAAACACTCTGCCAGTTTCCGTTCTACTGAGCGAGGTCACCGTTTAGTAGAGTCGACACAAACGTACGTCAATGCGCGTGTTTCCACTTTCTGGATTGACACCAACGGGAGCTTATCGTGGAACTACTTAGTCGAGGTTCGAGCAAATCGAATACAAACGATACGTGCAGGCAGAAAAACTGGTAAGAAAAAAGGTCATGGATAGAACGCGCCGAATTTCATGTTCAAACAATGGTTCAGGCGTGGTTTCTGACATATTAAGAATACAGCGCAGTGAGCTATTGTGCTGATTTCTTCGATATACATCAAACTTCTGTTAGCTGTAAATAATCTAAATATAAATATAAAAAATAAACATATATAATAAACATAAAGTTTTTTAATGATATAGCTCACATAGGAGCACCCCCCTGCAGTACCTGCATACATTCGCAATCAGTGTGAAAATACTTACAAACACGAACGCAACTTCGTGCAACAGATTAATACCAGAGCAAATACAAAAGCAAAGCTCAAAAGCTGATTCACTCTGGAGTAATACTACCTTTGTGTACGTTTTTATTTTTTGCTGCTTCATCCGCCTGGGTATCTTTCCTGTCCTCCCTACCTACGTTAGACAGAATACCTATCAGAATCAAAATCCCTGCCGAATTCTATGACAACCGTTTTCGGCGTTGTGTTCATGTTCGTTAGGACTACGGAAGAGGCAAGGGACCCCCTCCCTCGCAAACTTCGGTTGTTCCGTTGATATCCGTGAGATCGTGGATTGTATGTGGTAACCTTGTATTTTAACCTTTCGGTAAAATGTACACACAGCTTATAACAGTACAGCTGAATATGCGGAACAGTTTGATCACCGCCTGTATCCTTTATAAGCGGCGCAGGTCCTACGCCTGATAAAATTTGCAACGAAAGGCAATCACCACCAACAGAACGGCTGCTAGCGCCGCATCAACAGCCTCTGATTGGCGATCTTCGGGGGATGTGCAGCCCGATCTCTGTGGAAACTGAAGTAGCAAAGTTTACCTGCGGATTTCCGAAATGTTGGTGTACGTTTACAATTAGGTAATATCTTATTGTGGCGCTGGTAAAGCAAAGATGCATGCGTTGCGACGTAAAACAGGCACCTCGATTATGCAAGTTTACTTTTTCCGACGGATTCAGTTTCGGCAGCGACGGCCAATTTTGATATCAGAATGTTCATATCGGCGATGGATCGTTTATTCTCAGTATCCTTGACATAACCATTTCAACTTCATCAGATCAGTACTCTGTTAAAAGTCATTTTAGAGACCCATGAATTAGCCAAGATAAGGTCCTTCCCGAAAATCCCAAAATGGGTGCCACGTATGCAGTAGTCTGCTAATAGGGTAAGCATATGGATACGGCACAGCCCGTTCTAAAAGTAATGTTCATATAGATTCGATTTTTTTAAAGCATGGACCCGGCCACAACGGCCATGGTTGTGTCGCCTTTTACGGCTGAAAGCACGAAGCGAAGGCCGCTAAAGAAATGCAGGCTCTGCACAAACATGGCAGATACTCCAGTCACTAAAAGCACGGCAGGTCCCCAGAAGAAGGTGACTTCGCGTTCAAACTGGCCTATAATTAACCAAAAACTATCACACCAGTGAATGATTCGGCCATAATCAGCATAAGTTCAATCCAGTTAGCTTATTTTTGATCGGGCTTCGATGTTCATGCATAATAAAGCACTGACTAGGTACCGCCTCATTTTTCCGTCACTCGAAAAATACCTGCGCTAAGTGGAGCAGTCACTGTCAACAACTGCGACAGCATATCCGACAGCACGCCACAGGAGACGTCCGCACACAGAAGTATCAGTCCTAAAACAAGCACAATGGTCACAATTGCCAGGGAAGCCTTGCTAAACGGTGCTACATTTCGTCGCTTTTAGTATTTCCATTGTATTAGCTTCAAAGTAAAGTTAGATCTGCTCGTCTCACTTAACTTACACAGAAGAATTACTCGTACAGCTGTTTATCGTTATTGGCTCCATGGCGGGATTTTATATTTGAAAGGTTTGCAAATAATATAACCGCTACCTTTCGGTCACGTCTCAAAAGCTAAATATGGTTCTGCTAATCTAAAAATATAGGAGATCAGAAGCTGCTTACCCCAGCTCAAGTTGGTGTGATAAATCATGGATTTGCCCCTTAAATTAGACAGAAGAAGGATACAACAAGGCGTAATTGCTGAAGGACGAAAATCCTTCGCCAAGCCGAGATCAGCCATCCCTTCAAACCTGATTTTTGCCTCTAGGAGTAGATGGGGAGAATCTGATTTTAGTTAGCCAAATTGGAGCTATATATTTATATATATATATATATATATATATATATATATATATATATATATATATATATATATATGCCCGAACTCGTTCTTACCTGATCTTCCAGGTCTGTTGTACTGTCCCTTCATCTCGTGCGTATACTTACTGCTGGCATATATAGTGAATTTGGGCAGCTTCCAACAGCACTTAGTTTAGCAGGGTAAGCACAAAATAATCTTTACTCGAAGCTCGGTTCAATTTTTCGTCATAACTCCAACCGTCAAGTTGGAGTTGCTAATTATGTTTCACCAGTAATCAACTTGATGTAATGTCTGTTACTGCGATTATGTAGTTTCGTGCTACTATGCTACCATTTACCTCTCGACCACTGAGCCCGCCTGTTTCGTTTCAGACTATACAATATGTTGATTCTACGTTATACTCCCGTATCCGCACCCTCACACAGACATACTGTCCTAACACTGGCCCGCTCATCTGCTCACTTTGTGGATCTTGCATAGCTCAGAAGTAGCCTTAACATTTACGTATCTGTAATAATATAATAGAAACTAGATGCCTCTTGATCACCAAAGACTTCTACTCTATCTACCGCTGCTATACCCGCAGTTTATCCGTTTCGTTTATTGCGCTTCTCTACATTACTCGATATCTTCATGCTGATAGGACTGCATCAGTGTCCACTGCCGGCCTACCTAATACTATCCGTCACTCCGGTTATTCGGTCGGTTCCGCAGCCTCAACAGTTTATCTTCAACGGCCGCCGCCGGTTGAATCGGTGCGTGACCTGTGTGATTCCACCCATTCCACTGACTGCCTAACTCCCCTACCATAACGCGTCAGCACAACGACTTTTGTCTACGACCCCAGCAACGCTTTGCGATAGTGTTCTAGTACAACGCGTTCTTCTGTTATTCGTTGAAGCGCCTGCTGCTGGAGCCGCCGCCGCCGCCGCCGCTGCCGCCGCCGCCGCTGCCGCTGTTGGTGCTACCGTCGACGGTACGGCAGTAGCAACCGTCCTTGCGCGGCAGCAGTAGCGTTCGCAGACGTTCTTGCTCGACTCTGTCCATAAAAACAGTAGCAACAACATCAGCAGTATTCACTACTCTTACAGACCAACAGTGACCGCATTATTAGTGAAAGTACTATAGAAAGCAGTCTAAGCGCGGATGAGACGGTTTACCGCAAAACAAAGGGATAACGCCGCGTCGATCGGTCATTTTAGCCGTTGTTGTTGTTGTTGTTGTTGCTGCTGCTGCTGCTGTTGTTGCTGCTGTTGCTGCTGCTGTTGTTATGGTGTATATCGCTCGCATTAACACGCACTTCATACTGACTATAGTTGCTATTGCAAGAACAGGCGCTCTGGTCAACGTCAGAGTGACCGTCTTCGCCGGTGCAGTCGTCCTAGCGCTTGCGTCCTTTAGCAGTAGTAAATCGCGCGTTCGCGCATGCTTGCAAGCTACCAGCAAAACAGCCAGACCGACAAACGCTCTCATACTAGCGATTGATACAGACTAGTGCAGGTACAATTGATGCGATAGCTACTTGTCATTGTGTTTGATACTGGGAGGAAAGAAAACTGACGACCACGACGACAGCAATAACAACAACAATAGTAGGCAACAAAAAAAATAACAGACGATGGCAACGACGACAGGTGGAGCGGAGTAACGGAGCACACGTTAAGATACTGCGGCATGAAGAGGCAATGGGGGAGTAGATGGACAGTGCTGTTAACCCAGGGGGTCAACGCGCGTTGCCTGTAGTTGAGACTCGTTTCAAACGAAAGAAGAGAAAAAGAAAAAGGAGGGGTAGAGAGCGATAACTTGCATACGAAACACGTATTAGGACACTCGTTTGTGTTGACGTTGCCTTGCATTAGTGGATATGATCGGATCAAAGAAATGATACGAGGTACCATGCCGCTCCGCACCGAGAATATAGAAATAGAGAGCAACAGTGACGTTATACTGTAAAGACAGTGAACAAGAGGCTGCGCGACAGACGGGCGCAGGCGCTGCAAGTCATCGTACTTGTTTTTATATCGCGAACGGGAAGAACCAACGGGAAAAGGGGGAACGAAAGGAAAATGTTAGAGGTGCGCAACGTACGTGTTATAAACGGCTGTGTGTATTTGTTTGTTTGTCCGTTTGTAGATTTGTGTGTGTTTATGGATTTCTTCATTTAAGAGAGCCGTCAAGCGCAAGAAAAGGTTTTGGCTGGAACCGTGAGAAACCTTGTTTTGGATTAGTTAAACGATAGGCGATAGGTCCGGTTATGAAAATCTCCTCATATCAACGTGTCTAAGCAGGGCTATATTGGTGGCCAAAACAGTAAGGTAAGTATTCCTTGTCACAGGTTTGATCAGTGTTTGTTAGA